GCGTGTAAGGTGCCTTAGAAAGTCATTCTAGTTGAACATTCAGCTATCCATGCATGATACACACTGAGGCGATCATGTATCTTTCGCGTCAGATTTTCTTCCCGTAGTAGTTTGTCGTTTTTTTCTGCGGTAGACCAGTTGCTATGGAACCCGGTCTGTCTTGCTATTTACCCATAACTCGAGGGTGCGAGGGAGGGGGGGGGAGAGGATTCATACATTTTCCAAAGGTGTTAGCACGTAAGTGAATGTAATTCGAACTCGGCTCTCCGATTCCTCAATCCGAGCCGCTATCAATTACTCCACAGTCTTTTTACACTAAAATCATGGTTCAAATGCTGAGAAATTTTGATGCGAAGGAAAGGATAGCTTAACGAAAGGTAGACCGCTTAGAATTTCCAAAAACAGTATTCAAACCATCCAAAAGATGTTTGCTACGACTAAGACATGTTTTGAGTAAACTGGAAAGTTGGTTGGTTGTTTTGTTTTATGGCATATCAACCTCAGTGGGGCATTTAATGCCAACAAATTTTTAAAAATAGATTCATAGCGATAGTTTGGAAAAAAGGTGTGTGTATATATATATATATATATATATATATATATATATTTCAACCATTTTACTCATATTTTTGAGTACAATCCAACGTCTTTTAGGAAATTTAGTTTCTATTGCTGTTTTTTTGTTGTTCTTTTTTAAGTATTGCTGACAATAATTTTTCCTTAAAAAATTATAGCTAGTAATATTTTTTATTGCAAAGTATTTCTGGTATTAAAACCTATTTTTACACAAGTTTGAGTGTTAACTATTTGACCATAGCTGGGACCCTAACAGGTGCTACCACCCTGGGTCATGGTGGAGCCAGCAATTAAGAGGTGGTTCCACGCTCCTCAAAACCTCCTGATCAGAGGCCTTACTGTTGGACGTCTTACCCAGGACGCGGATGTAGTTTATCGTCATACACAGGAAGGTAAACTGGAAGTCCACAACAGTTAGACAAGAGAGATAAAAGAATGATTGTGAGTGTCTGGTAGGCAATCCAAAATTAACAGCCAGACAAGTGAGGAATTAATGCAGTCTTATCAGTGAGGATTCAATGTGAAGCAGTATTTAGAGTATTATGAAGACAAAACATGAAAGGGCGTATAGCAGCAAAACAACGAAAAATAAAATTAAAACAAGCCAAAATACCATTAACCCCCCAAAAAAACAAAAAACAACCAAAACCAAAAACAAGCAAACATTGGAACAGAACATTGAAGTGGTCGAAAGAACCTCTAGAATAATTCTGAAAAGTGCCAAAAAGATTTTTTTTTTACTTTTCAATTCAAGATAGAGTTACATTCTAATGCCCAAAATTATGTCAGGACACCAGTGAACGAAAGAAACAAGATAAAATTTAGTGATGGGCTCTTAATGGTGTGAGGTTGCATCAAAAGCGATGGTAGAAGTAAACTGGTAAAAGGTGATAAAAACAGCTAAAACTATATTAATTTATGACATTACCGGAGCATGTTACGCAAGACATGCTACCACGTGTTTGGTAGGAGCTGGACTACCGACTTAACGTGTGTTGTGCCACAGTTGTGCATATATTGAACTTATTAGAATAGGTTATAAAATCAACATCTCTTTGAACAGAGGATATATATATATATATATATATATATATATATATATATATATATATGTATATATACGTTCACTTGACCATCCAATCCCATACAATGTTTTATACGGTGACGTATTAATGCCAAATGCATCATGAATTAGATTATTTAAAAATGTAAATTTTTGATTCAATTAAAGACTTAAATATAGGCAAATGATAAATGAAAGAAAATATATACTGAATGTTTGAACATGTATTATAAATATTTTAGGAAGCAAATGTACGAGAAAGTTTATAATCACTGATAAAAAGAAAAAACTAAACAAATCTTCAATAAATAATACACATAATTATCAAAATTACCAAAATTAATAAGTTCTTTACTCTCTTCTTTTACTTAAGAAAAGAAAAAAAATATTTTCAATTGGGATGAATATAAACATAAAGCAAGGATCAATATTTGTCCGTTCGTTTTTATTTCGGATCCGATTTCATGATCTTTTCATCGTGTATACTAGAATCCTCGTTTACCTTTCGTTTTCCACTGCAGCATAAAATGATTGCATTTTTCCCATCTGCTCTAATTGTTTCCCTTAAATTAATTGCCAATGAATGTTTTACAATTTTCGCTGTTTATTTTTCGCTTAATCTTCAATTAAGGATCTTTTCAAATACCGCATCGTGCCTGGAAACAAATCATTTCGACATTCATATGAGAAAAAAAAAATATTGATCCAAGCCTGTCCCTTTACACTCAGAAGCACACCATATTTTTCTTTTCTTCGTTTCTTTTGCCATTAATTTTTATTTTGTTTAAATTCAAACAAATAAATTATTTTCTCGTAAACAACGTTCGAAAGTTCCACGCACACGGTATTTGTCAAATTCAAGGCAAACTCTGACATTAGAAAATTTATATTAAAACTTTTACTTGAAACAAAGAAAACGGTCTAAAACATAGAAAAGAATTGCCCAAAAATCTAAAAACAAAGAAATTTAATTGATCTTTAACCAAATTGTAGAGATGAAAAATTATTATCTAAGGACACCAATATACATACCTACCTATCTACATGCATACATACATACAATATTAAACGGATTAAGTCGAACTATTATTTAATATATTTTCTGTTTATAATTTGTTTTTATAGATACTGTTCTTTCGAGTAAATGCTCTGTTTTTAATTAAACAACATTAATTACATTTACCGGCATGAATTTTTGAAAAAATTCTTAGAAAGTATGCGTTCTCCTACTAAAATGACGGAGAACAAATATTTTACTAAATTAAAAACAGAGTATTTGCCTAAAAAATGTATCTATAAAAATAAGTTATAATTATATATTACAATGAATAAATTAGTAAAGTTAATGATATAAAATTGCGAAATTCCTTCGCTAACAAATTTTTAAAGATGCATTAACCTACTAATCACTCGATGAATATTATGATCCTTGTTTTTTTTTTTTAAATTACAAACTGTATTAGGTCTTGCTTAAATACGAAAGTACTTTCGACAGTTCTACCAGTCATCATCAGGCATGGTATCTATTTTGTTTTTGGTAAAATTCAGGTAGCATCCAAGACGAATAAATATAATCCAAATGGAAATATCTTTTGTTTTTTTTTTTTAAATGTTTTATTGATAACGGATACAATCTTGTGGAGCGTGTAGGCGAAACGCTAAGGTTGAATTTTTGAAAATTTAAGTGAGTGCGTTTTTTCACTAATATGGCAGTTTAAAATTTTTTTTGTTTAGGAGTTTTCAGTCAGCATGGCAAGAGATAAATAGTTCAATAAGTATAATAATGTCTCAGTTGTTATCCCGAAAATTTGCACGTCGGATCATTTTATACCGTTTAGAAAATAAAATAGGTAAAATACTGAAAGAAGAGCAGAAGCACACACACACATATACACACACACATACAAACACACACAAACACACACACATATATATATATATATATATATATATATATATATATATATATGTGTGTGTGTGTGTTGTTTCATATTTTCAATAATTATGGTGAAAAATGCTCACTATCTGATAACCTTTATAGAGATAGTGTCTCTAGAGTAATTTACACTACATCTCAAGTTTGCATTGAGGCGTGAAACTCATTCGTTATGCAGTGTTGATTCCTATGTCCACTTTATCTCTATCTCTCTCTCTCTCTCTCTCTATATATATATATATATATATATATATATATATATATATATATATATAGAGAGAGAGAGATAGATAGATAGATAGATAGATATCGGGGGGAGAGATAGAGAATGAGTGAGTGAGTCAAAACACTAGCCCAACAAACATGTCTGTGTACGCAAAAACCTTCAAATGTGGAATAATGAGTTGATTGTAAGGATTTGATATTCTTTATGCAAATATCTTCTTACCACACTCGTCTACACAAAAGGTCATTATTGTAGGTGGTTTCCTATTTTACAGTCCTATCCACTTGATTTACATAAGATCAGGTTATTATGCTCATCTCACATAGAATCTATCCTCTAAATCTGTCAGATTTTATTAGCTAAGTCAATAGTTTAACAGTAAAATTCATATTAACTAATATTTGTTACAATCTTCAGTTGAATCCATATTTTATTATCAATACACAATGAGAATAAAAGCTAATCATAGCTGTTAAAAGTCTTTACAATAGCGTATTTAGCACTGAGGTTTTAAAATGTAGACAAGTTTTGTCGACATTTTAAAAACTCACATTGATATTTATTTGTTTTAATTTCAGTCATATTAATACAAAAATGAGTCGTAAGAAAGACATAAACTAAAACTAACAACTTATTCGGTGACATAAACGCATCATCGGAAATTGTGAAAAGGTTTAAATGTAAGCATAAAACAATGGAAAACAAACTGAACAAGTTGAGAAGATAACAAAGAAGTATTTCAGAAAAAGAGATTTGAGAAAAGTCAAAAAGGCAATAGGCAGAAAACTTCTATTGACCAGCAAGAAAATATTTGAAGAAGCTGTTGTTGAAAATGTAGATAGAGAGAAAAGAAATCGGTTTTATTATTACATAAATTTGCATTTTAAAGTTAGTATGTACAATTTACCTCTCACTATTAAACAAAATAAAGTAACAAATAAATCTTATTTATAAATATCGAACTAAAATAATATATTGTCATTTTAGAAATGTTGATTAAAATTAATCTGCTGACGATTTCGATGTAAAAATAATAACGTCTGATTTCTTACAATGTTGGCAGAAGAAGAAGAAGCAGCAAAACAAAAAACAAAAAAACAAAGGAGGAAAAAAAAGAAAAAGAATAAAAAAAAACAAAAAAGGCAAAAAAAAAAGAGGAAGAAGAAGATAAAAAAGCAAAGGAGGAAGAAAAGAAGAACAAAAAAAAAAAAGAAAAAGAAGGAAGAAAAAAAGAAGAAGCAAAAAAAGCAAAAGGAGGAAGAAAGAAGAAGAAAAAAAAAAAGGAAAAAAGGAAGAAAAAAAAGAAAAGAAAAAAAGAAGAAAAAAAGCAAAGGAGGAATAAAAAAAGAAGAAGCAAAAAGCAAAAGGAAGAAAAGAAGGAAGAAAAGGAAGAAGAAAAAAAAAAAAAGCAAAGAAGGAAAAGAAGAAGCAAAAAAGCAAAGGAGGAAAAAAAAGAAAAAAAAAAGGAAGAAAAGAAGAAAGAAGAAGAAAAGAAAAGCAAAAGAAAAGGAGGAAAAAAAAAGAAGCAAAAGGAAGAAAAAGAAAAAAAAAGCAAAAAAAAAAAGAAGAAAAAAAAGCAAAGGAGGAAGAAGAAGAAGCAAAAAGCAAAAAAAGAAAAAGAAGAAGCAAAAAGCAAAGGAGGAAGAAAAGAAGAAAAAAAAAGGCAAAGGAGGAAGAAAAGAAGAAGAAAAAAAAAAGCAAAAAGGAAGAAAAGAAGAAAAGCAAAGGAAAAGGAAAGAAAAAAGAAGAAGCAAAAAAGCAAAGGAGGAAGAAAAAGCAAAAAAAGCAAAGGAGGAAGAAAAGAAGAAGCAAAAAACAAAGGAGGAAAAAAAGAAGCAAAAAAAAGGAGGAAGAAAAGAAGAAAAAGAAAAAGAAAGGAGGAAGAAAAGAAGAAAAAAAAAGCAAAGGAGGAAGAAAAGAAGAAGAAGAAAGAAAAGAAGAAGCAAAAAAAGCAAAGGAGGAAGAAAAAGAAGAAAAAGCAAAAAAAGCAAAAAGGAAAAAAAGAAGAAAGAAAAAAAAAAAAAGGAGGAAGAAAAGAAGCAAAAAAGCAAAGGAGGAAGAAAAGAAGAAGCAAAAAAAGCAAAGGAGGAAGAAAAAAGAAAAAAAAAGCAAAAGGAGGAAGAAAAAAGAAGAAGCAAAAAAAAGCAAAGGAGGAAGAAAAGAAGAAGCAAAAAAAAAAGCAAGAAAGAAGAAGAAAAAAAAGCAAAGGAGGAAGAAAAGAAGAAGAAGCAAAAAAGCAAAAGGAAAAAAAAGAAGAAGCAAAAAAGCAAAAGGAAGAAAGAAGAAGAAGCAAAAAAGAAAAGAAAAAGAAGAAGTAAAAAGCAAAAAAAGCAAAGGAGGAAGAAAAGAAGAAGAAAAAAAGCAAAGGAGGAAGAAAAAAGAAGAAGCAAAAAAGCAAAGGAGGAAGAAAAGTAGAAGAAGCAAAAAAAGCAAATGAGGAAGAAAAGAAGAAGAAGCAAAAAGAGGAAAAAGGAAGCAAAAAAGCAAAGGAGGAAGAAGAAGAGGAGGAAGAAAAGAAGAAGCAAAAAAAAGGAGGAAGCAAAAAAAAGAGGAAGAAAAGAAAAAAGCAAAAAGGAAGAAAAGAAGAAGCAAAAAAGAAAAGGAAGAAAAGAAGAAGCAAAAAGCAAAGGAGGAAGAAAAGAAGAAAAAAAGCAAAAAAAAGCAAAGGAGGAAGAAAAGAAGAAGAAGCAAAAAAGCAAAGGAGGAAGAAAAGAAGAAGCAAAAAAGCAAAGGAGGAAGAAAAGAAGAAGCAAAAAAGCAAAGGAGGAAGAAAAGAAGAAGAAGCAAAAAAAGCAAAAGGAAAAAGAAGAAAAGAAAAAAAAGCAAAGGAGGAAGAAAAGAAGAAGCAAAAAAAGCAAAAGAAGAAAAAAGAAAAGCAAAAAAGGAGGAAGGAAGAAAAAGAAGAAAAAAAGCAAAGGAGGAAGAAAAGAAGAACAAAAAAAAAGGAGGAAGAAAAGAAGAAGAAGCAAAAAAAAGCAAAGGAGGAAGAAAAGAAGAAGAAAAAAAGCAAAAGGAAGAAAAGAAGAAGAAAAAAAAAGCAAAGGAGGAAGAAAAAAGAAGAAAAAAGCAAAGGAGGAAGAAAAAGAAAAGCAAAAAGCAAAGGAGGAAGAAAAGAAGAAGAAGCAAAAAAGCAAAGGAGGAAGAAAAGAAGAAGCAAAAAAGCAAAGGAGGAAGAAAAGAAGAAGAAGCAAAAAAAGCAAAGGAGGAAGAAAAGAAGAAGAAGCAAAAAAGCAAAGGAGGAAGAAAAGAAGAAGCAAAAAAGCAAAGGAGGAAGAAAAGAAGAAAAAGAAAAAGAAAAAAGAAGAAGAAAAAAAAAAAGAAAAAAGCAAAGGAGGAAGAAAAAAAGCAAAGGAGAAGAAAAAGAAGAAGCAAAAAGCAAAGGAGGAAGAAAAGAAGAAGCAAAAAGCAAAGGAGGAAGAAAAAAGAAGAGGAAGAAAAAAAAAGGAGGAAGAAAAGAAGAAGAAAAGAAGAAAAAAGCAAAAGGAAGAAAAAGGAACTAAAAAAAAGCAAAGGAGGAAGAAAAAAGAAAAAAAAAAAGGAAGAAAAGAAAAGAAGAAAAAAAAAAAAAAGGAGGAAGAAAAAAAAGAAGGAGGAAAAGAAGAAGAAGCAAAAAAAGCAAAGGAGGAAGAAAAGAAGAAGCAAAAAAGCAAAGGAGGAAGAAAAGAAGAAGAAACAAAAAAGCAAAGGAGGAAGAAAAGAAGAAGCAAAAAAGCAAAGGAGGAAGAAAAGAAGAAGAAGCAAAAAAGCAAAGGAGGAAGAAAAAGAAGAAGCAAAAAAAGCAAAGGAGGAAGAAAAGAAGAAGCAAAAAAGCAAAGGAGGAAGAAAAGAAGAAGAAAAAAAAGCAAAGGAGGAAGAAAAGAAGAAGCAAAAAAGCAAAGGAGGAAGAAAGAAGAAGAAGCAAAAAAAAAGGAAGAAAAGAAAGGAAGAAAAGAAAAGCAAAAAAGCAAAAGGAAGAAAAAAAAAGCAAAGGAGGAAGGAAGAAGCAAAAAGAAGGAGGAAAAAAAAAAAAAAAAGGAAGAAAAAGAAGAAAAAAAAGCAAAGGAGGAAAAAAAAGCAAAAAAAGCAAAGGAGGAAGAAAAGAAGAAGAAGCAAAAACAAAAAGGAGGAAGAAAAGAAGAAGAACAAAAAAGCAAAAAGGAGAAAGAAAAGAAGAAATAAAAAAAGCAAAAAGAAGAAAAGAAGGAAAAAAAGCAAAGGAGGAAGAAAAAAGGAGGCAAAGGAGGAAGAAAAGAAGAAGCAAAAAAGCAAAGGAGGAAGAAAAGAAGAAGAAGCAAAAAAAGAAAAGGAGGAAGAAAAAAAAGAAGGAGGAAAAGAAAGAAGAAAAAAAAAAGAGGAAGAAAAGAAGAAGAAAAGGAGGAAGAAAAGAAGAAGCAAAAAACAAAGGAGGAAGAAAAAAGAAGCAAAAAAAAGCAAAAGGAGGAATAAAAGAAGAAAAGAAAAAAAAAAGGAAGAAAAGAAGAAGAAGAAAAAAGCAAAGGAGGAAGAAAAAAAGAAGAAGCAAAAAAAAAAGGAGGAGGAAGAAGAAGAAAAAAAAAAAGCAAAAGGAAGAAAAGAAGAAGAAAAAAACAAAGGAGGAAAAAAAGAAGAAGCAAAAAACAAAAGGAAGAAAAGAAGAAAAAAAAAGCAAAGGAGGAAGAAAAGAAGAAGAAGCAAAAAAGCAAAGGAAGGAAGAAAAGAAGAAGGAGGAAGAAAAGAAAAAGGAAGAAGAAAAGAAAAGAAGAAGCAAAAAAAGCAAAAAGGAAGAAAAGAAGAAAAAAAAAGAAGAAAGAAGAAGAAAAGAAGAAAAAAAGCAAAAGGAAGGCAAAAGAAAGGAAAGAAAAGAAGAAGCAAAAAAAGCAAAGGAGGAAGAAAAGAAGAAGAAGCAAAAAAGGAAGAGGAGGAAGAAAAGAAGAAGAAAAAAAAAAAAAGGAGGAAGAAAAGAAGAAAAAGAAGGAAAAAAAAAAAAGGAGGAAAAAAGCAAAAGGAGAAGAAAAGAAGAAAAAAAGCAAAAAGGAAGAAAAGAAGAAAAGAAGAAGAAAGAAAAAAAAAAGCAAAAAAAGCAAAGGAGGAAGAAAAGAAGAAGAAAAAGCAAAAGGAAGGAAAAGAAGAAGAAGCAAAAAAAGCAAAGGAGGAAGAAAGAAGAAGAAAAAAAAAGCAAAGGAGGAAAAAAAGAATAAAAAAAGCAAGGAGGAAAAAAGAAAAAAAAAAAAAAAAGGAGGAAGAAAAAAGAAGAAGCAAAAAAGCAAAGGAGGAAGAAAAGAAGAAGAAAAAAAAAGCAAAAAGGAAGAAAAGAAGAAGAAACAAAAAAGCAAAAGGAAGAAAGAAAGAAGAAGCAAAAAAAGCAAAGGAGGAAGAAAAAAAGAAGAAAAAAAGCAAAGGAGGAAAAAAAGAAGAAGCAAAAAAAAAGGAGGAAGGAAGAAAAAAAAGAAGAAGGAAAAAAAGCAAAGGAGGAAGAAGCAAAAAAGCAAAGGAGGAAAAAAGCAAAAAGCAAAAGGAGAAAAAAAAGAAGTAAATAAAAAAAAAAGGAGGAAGAAAAGAAGAAGAAGCAAAAAAAGCAAAAGGAAGAAAAGAAGAAGCAAAAAAAAAAAGGAGGAAGAAAAGAAAGAAAAAAAAAAAAAAAAAAAGAAAGCAAAAAAAGCAAAAGAGGAAGAAAAGAAGAAGCAAAAAAGCAAAAGAGGAAGAAAGGAAGAAGAAGCAAAAAAAAAAAGGAAGAAAAGAAGAAGAAAAAAAGGAAAAAGGAAGAAAAGAAAAAAAAAAAAAAAAGAAAAAGGAAGAAAAAAAAGCAAAAGGGAAGAAAAGAAGAAGAAAAAAAAAAAGCAAAAGAAGAAAAAAAAAGAAGAAAAAAAAGCAAAGGAGGAAGAAAAGCAAAAAAAAAGCAAATAAGGAAAAAAGAATAAAAGAAGCAAAAAAAAAAATAAATAAAAGCAAAGGAGGAAGAAAAGTAGAAAAGAAATAGGAACAAAAAAAGCAAATGAGGAAGAAAAGAAGAAGAATAAAAAAAGCAAATGAGGAAGAAAGGAAGAAAAGAAGAAGCAAAAAAAAAAAGAAGCAAAGGACGAAGAAAAGAAACATAATTTGGTTTGTTTTGCTATATTGTTGACTCCATCTCCATTCAAAATGACGAATGCGGACATATTCAAAAAACGTCTTTACTTATAAACTTTGTGCAAAAGTTCCAATGCTGAACTATAACAAGATAATTTTCGTACATGTTATTTTTTCTGCAAGCCATTAAACTGCACGATGATAGTTGAATCCCTTCAGACCAAAATGAAGACATCTGAAAAAGCAGGCGAATTCGGCAGCAAGACCTTCCGCGTTTGGAAAGGAAGATGGGACCCAGTAAGATTTTTACACCCAACAGAACACAAAAATGATTTTCAACGAGAGAAATGTATGTTTACGAGAATATATATTCACTTCATTAAGAACCTGATTTATAAATGTCTGGAATTTAGATTAACCATTTTGTCCGTATTAGCTCTTTTCATCAGCTAAGTAATGCGATGATTACGAAATGCATCAAATATTTGAAAGACATATATGAAGGCATGTATAAACTTTTCGTTGTAAAGTCCTAGAATTGGACTATCATTATCTATTTACGATGATTTGCATTAGTGCTGATGTTTTTGTGGATGTCAGAGCTTCGAGTTATTTTCATTTATTTTAAAAGAACTGTCTAAATACAGAGTAACTAAAGAAAACCCCTTTAAAATAAAAATTATCTAACAGGATATTGTTAATGTTTTCAAGAAGTCTTCGGCAATTCGTAGGAATAATTTGGTACTAGTTTGATGCTAATTCAATTAAGTTATACTCAGTTTTAATTTATAAGTTAATGTTGATGGGTTCTCCCCTTTTTTACACAAATGGACTCACCCAGTATATAAATATACTATGGCTACGTGAAGACCCGAGAGAGCTAGACCGAAGAGTCGAGTCGAGTCCAGAGTGACAGAGTAAAAGGTTGTAGGTAACCGGAAAAGTGAGGGGTGAGATAACAGCGTTGTAGGAGTCACAGTGAGCGAGCACGTAGACTCAGTAAGAAGTCATACAGCGATACTTCAATACCAAAGACTGTATAAATATTTTGCTACTAACCCGTATTCCTGGAACTACTAACCTGCTTTACCAGTTTGTATTATGATTAATACATTATTTTCATATGTTCATTCCTGGCGTTTGCTAATTATTGGTACTGGATTTCAACCCGGAATCCACAACAGTTAATATTATTTCATTCGTTGTTTAAAAAATCTTTATTGTTTTTTGTATTCATTTTACACAAGTGATTTTTATTGTGAAATAAAAATAATATATATTTTATTTAAAACATAACTTTGAGCCATTTCTTTCTTTCTTTCTCTTTTACATTTAATTGTCTTATTTTCTTCATTGTTACAGCTCTATCGGGAAGTAAGTAAACATATTTTGATGTTTGTGTTTTTCAGAATATTAAGGATATTGTTCCCAAACTCGAAAACAAAGAAAATATTAAGACGGCCTTTAAGTAGATATCCCAATGAGAAATGCATGAGTTAAACTAAATCGTACATGGGAAATAATTTCTTGACAATATTTTTAGTGATTACTGTAGATCTATATTGCATAAAGCTGATGGCTTGGCTAGAAGTTGGGTTCTTCATAGAAGTAGTCAACCGACAAAACTTGGAAAACAATCGGGAGGTTGAAGTCTAAAAATCGTATTTTCAATATTAAAATAATCGATTTCTTCAAAATTGATGATTGTGTCAAGATAAACACGAAGAATTAATGAAAATTCTTGGAACAATCTTTTTGACTGACGCAAGGTATAATAATAATAATAATAATAATAATAATAATAATAATATTCATGCAAGATAATGCGGCTTGACATTCGCAAAGATGACTATACTTTGCCGAAAAATAAAATTATTTTTAAAACACAAAATTAATGGAAAGGATCTCAGTCATTTTTTTTAATCCAATAGAAAAGGTGAGTGATCTAGCATTAATATATAATAGCTGGCCATTTGTATTCGTATACCTGGCTATTGCAGACACTCGTCCAGGTATATTAATGTTTGTTCAACACCCATCTGTGGTTTATACTGCAAACTATGCTGAGAAAACCTCAGTTACAATTTCTGGGAAAGAGCGTGTTATCTAACGTGATCAACAATCTGAACAAGGCCGGCACGCTCAACACTCGGTCACGATGACTTGTGACTTCGTGCTCGCACAGTTATCGACGGCTCCCAAGGGTTCAGTCTACCCAATTTCACTGAAAGGGCTTAGAATAATTACTTTCGATCTTCTTCAAAGATCATCTTCAGGCGTGCAAGTAGTACAAAACTATATGTTGTACATTAGTATAAGTATTTATACAAAGTTGTGCGCTGGGAAATGAAATAAAAGAAATTTAAACAGCTATATCACATTTCTTTTGTAATTCCGTTATTCTCCCGTTTGAAGGAAACAATTTCTAGTCTCTCAAAGTGACGTCATATAAACAGTCAAACCGAAAAAAAATTCCATGTTTTGTTTTATTTATATGAGAATAGAAAAGAATATTGCATAAAGCCAAACATATTCTGCAGGTAATGTTAAAGTTGAAACACCAAAAAGAAATGCCGAGGAAAGACATATAATACCATTAAATAATCTCATGTATTAAGATATAAAATTGTATTCATAATTATTATTGGCGGTCACAATCTTAACAACATATGATATGCAGATGATACTGTGATGATCAGCATCACACACATACATACATACTTACACAAATTCAAATTATACAACAACAAGCATTCATTGGATAATAAATCAACACTATTTTGTAATAGACAATTTACAAATCGCAGCTATGCGACAATTTTATAATCGCTATATTTTCATGTAGTCGATTTTGTTCACTTTTGGGAGAATCGGATCCCAAGAGGCTTCTCAGCTTAGTAAATATTTTTCAGGAAATATCAGCTTCTAATTGGTCAATAAACACACAAGTGGGCGTTGCAATCCACCCATGCACAATATATTTTTCCAGCGCGTGACCAAGTCAAGTTTCCCGCCGTGTTGTTTTGATCCTGTCACGTGATTACATTATCTATAGATAACACACACGAGTTCGTTCATACTCTTTTTACTCTTCCAAATTCTTGCGAAGATGTGATTTTCAGAATTCTCATCTCGACCACGGACGGTTAGACGTTAAAAGCATATTCACGTACATACGAACCTTCACGAACTTTTCCAACCTATATTACAAACATACAGAACATTTCCAAACATGCAACAAGAACTTTATTCTTCTTAAACTACAGTTTAATAATTAATCCAACTTCGTGAGCTCCGATAAAAATATCCCCAGTCTAAGAGAAATAACTCCATCAGATCTTTAACTTCTACGCATGTACCTCAACACATAAATAAATATAATGTTGTTTGTTATAAAACCTGTTGTTCCTTCTTGTATTTCATGCTTTGTGGTATTTTACATTTAATATAAATTGTGTGGGCATGTTATTCACGCAGCCGTAAACAAACATCCACAATGGTCATTCCTCTTAACATTCCTCTACAATACAGCGTTGATAGCAGACAGGAAAAGAAAATTACAAAAACTGATGGTAATCCCGAAAGAAAACTTTACAAAGCAGTTTTGAAAAAAACAAAAAAACAAAAAAAAAAAAACAAGTCGCTCATATATCAGTGTAAGATCCCAAAAGAAACAACTTAAGACGATACTAAAGCTCCATTGCTTTTGAGAGGTTATATTTTTGTTGTATCGTCGAGGTGAATGATACACATAGAAGAATGAGTGCTTAATATATTCATTCAGAAACAGTATCTGGTGCTAAGGGATACATACAAAAAACAACAAGTTACAAAACAATTAACAAGACAAATTACAAGAAATAAATGAGGATGAAATGCTGTATAGCCAAACGAAATAAGATCAGTCTGAATATTAATCAGCTTAGTATCATCTTATTAATCAACTGTTAATCGTAACGTAATCGTAAACTATTTAAGACTATGAGTCAGTCCATCTGGTAGAGTGCTGAAGGGGTGCTAGCTTCTGTACAGCATTTTCTGGCTGGTTTCCGAAAGGAAATCGTATGTTTCTGTATTTGCCCTCAGCGCTCTTAAAACACTACCATCACTAATACAACTACTAATACTACTACTTATAATAATAATAATAATATAGAAATCAGTAGAATGTGGCATCACAAGGCAACGAAATTATCGGTTGTTATTGGGCCTTTGGGAATGGAATCAAAAGGCAAAAATAGAAAACATATTTTTGGTAATGCTAAAATATCTGAATTTCAAAAAACAAAAAAAAACAAAAACAAAAACAAAATATACTAATGGGTACTCCTCACATTTTAGCGTAGATTTCTCTGCGTACAGTGACCGCAATTACATATTAACCCCCATAATTGCATAAAACCTCGTCTATTTCCTTCTTCTGTTATAAAATAAACAAATGTGTCTCTTGTTGAGACTTAGGGATAACTCGTACTACACAAAGCAAAATCAAAAAAGATAACAGCAATAAGAGAAATGTTTGAAAAAGTAAGCATATACAAATACCTGGAGATAGAAATAGAAACAATGTGGCACTTAAAAACTGATATTGTTCCCCTTATGGTTGGAGCTTTGGTCTGATGAAGAAAGGAACTCAACAACAAATCAAAAAATCCTCGGTGCAACATCTCTCCAGGAAATCAAAACAATAGTTATAACAAGCACAGCCGATATCCTGTATGACTATAAACAATAGTGATTTACATATTTGTTAAAAGGCCTCGATTCTACTATTATCCAGTTCAACAGTTTTGTTTAATTACCGGATAAATTTGAGTGCCTGACGAACCAGTTGAATGCATTGGAGATTAACTAACAGAAAAGCAATGGGGGCCACACGCCCCATTTAAAACAACAACTCAGCATTTCCAGACCAACAGAAAATTCTACAATTTAGTGATGCATGATCCTTATCTGGTAACTATCATAATCACTGATCATTGTTAAAATTCAGAAAAAAACACACCTAGAATTTTCGAATATTCATTCCCGAGATAGAAAGGTCATATATATATCTTTGTTAATTTTGCAAGCACCTTTATCGGCTTTG